CCCCAAAACCCCAAAACCCCAAAACCCCAAAACCCCAAAACCCCAAAACCCCTTCAAGTTATGAATGATGTCATAGTTGATAGCAGATTTACAATTTTTATTAAGTATTTATATTGAATGCTATCTACATATAAAATTATAAAATTAACATGAAATATTCAAACGAGTCCAAGCCTCTACAAAAATCAAAATTGACCGAGAAACTCATCTCCTCAGAAAATTTTCCCGACCCCGAAAAGCAATCGGAGATATAACCAATAACAGTTTTGGGCATCAGATTAAAGAGAAGATTCACTAAAATCAACTTATTAGCCATCCCCTATCTTTTCTTTACTATTGCTATTGTAGCGAGTTTTATAAATACTCAGATGATTTTTATTTTGAGGCATGAGGACTACTTTAATGTTCCTATTAATTAGCTGGGCACTGTCACTAGTGATATGATGTTCTATATGCAACTTAGCTCTATAATTTTGAGTTTGTTCATCGGCTATATATTTGACATGTTTGGGAGAAAGATACCAATATTTATCAGTATACTCGTTTGTGGTTTCTTAATGGCATGCATACCTTAGACTGCACCGACTGTTTATCCGACTTTAATACTAGTCAGAATACTCATTGGATTATTGATGATCGCACCAAATTGCCATCCTTTAGTTAGTGATTATGTCAGTAAACCCTTCAGAGGCCGTGTCACTGGGTATCAGAGTTACGGTCAGATTTTCGGCGAATTTTTCACCTACGCCGTGCTATTCAATATTCAAATGGAAAACTTCAAGATCAGTTATTTAGTAGTGGGTCTTTTCATTTCCTGCTTATCAATTCCGGCCTTAGTCATGATAAAAGAACATAGAAGAACTAAAACTGAAAAGATTGCTGAGATCAGTCACCCAGTAAGAGAAGATTGCTGCTAGTCAAGAGGGGGAGGAATCTTTGCAAGATTCATGTGCTTGACTAGAGTTTTAAAATCAGAATGCTAAGAAAATATAATTTTGCCTTTGACTTTTTTCGGAGTATTCATTATAAAACAATCGTCAGTTCTCTATAATACATTTTTAATACTAAGAATAACCTCTTATGTTGACAAAGGAATCCTTGAAAATGATTTGTAAGCTCGCTAAATAGTCTAAATGATTAAGATCTACTAAGTTTTTGCCAGTTTATTCCTAATTGTTTTTACAGGCCATTACTCAGATAAATTTTAATACAGAATTACGATCCCGATTGCTTTTACAATTAAAGCTTCTGTTATATTTTTGCTAATTTTCCTTGATAATCCAAACAGCTTTTTGTTCCAATTATGCTGTATTGCTATTTAGTCATTTTCATTAATACAGAACATCTTAATAGATGGTTTATTCTCTAAAAATCTAAAAAAAGAGATTAGAGGTACATTGAACGGAGTTTATTACTTCTTTGGAAGTCTAGGCATGCTTTTATATGCCAAACTAGGGGGATATCTCTATGATAATGTGTCCTAAGATACTCCTTTCTATATTGCATCAGGACTAAATGTTGCTTTTGGAACACTAGTTTTGATTCTGAGCCTAACTAAAACATTTAAGCATTGAAAAGATTAATTCTCTTTGCAAATAAAGAACATATATCGCTGCAATAACCTAATATAAAATTGATAAATACTACTCAAATCTGGGATAAGTATAGAAATTGTGTTTATTTTATACTTCATAACTAATTTCTCTTTAAATTTCTCGAAATATACCCGTGGGGTTTTGGGGTTTTGGGGTTTTGGGG